AAAAACAAAAGTTGTATCCAAGATGGCCGACTTCTAAATGGCCACCATGGTCACCACCCATCTGGAGGAGTTACCCCCCTCAACCCCCTCACATACTAATGTGCCACAAACAGGACTTTAACATCACCAACCATTCCCATTTTATTACGGTGTATCCATATAAATGGCCCTCCCTGTAGTTGACTTTCCTGCCACCACACAGTCGTTTTAAAATTTAGCTTGTATGCGCTTCAATGCAAACACTAGATTTCAGGTTCAACATATAATTGGCTCTTTGGTGGCATTGACTGAACACCTCCATCTTTGTCTTTGCAGAAACCTGGATTTCTGTTCTGTCAGCCGTCTGCTGTTGTCAGAAGTACCTTTGTTTAGCTTTATGGTTCTCTTCTTACTAAGCAGCATATTTGATTGTCGCTTTAAATATGACCTTCTGGTTGCTTGGTGCGCCAGTGTCAAATGTCCCAGAAAAACATATTATCATGTGTACATGGGCACCAAATGTTTAGGGGGAAAGGAACTTGGGAAATAAGCCGGGTATCACTGTTCTGTTCTTTTGTTTGTTTGTTTGTTTGTTTTAGTATGCCAGACAAAGTGATACGTCCGTTTACACGGATCAGTGTTCTGACCTTATGGTTCTCCCACCATAGGTCCAGCCTCCTCCTCCTCCTCCTCCTTAGATTTGATTTCAGGGTTTTTCAAAATAAACTCAGAGTAAAAACTTTAATAGTCAGTTTCACCTTACTTAACACACAACAACACCTCGGTGATCAAGTTTTTGTTTCTTCTCCTGGGGTCAAAGTGGGGGGTCTTTCACTTGTTAGATATCAGTCGCTACATTCTGGAGCCATCTAAAAAACAAACCACAGATGGACTAATGTGTGACAAATGCAGAAGTATTAGCCTACCCTTTCTGGTACTGTTTCTTGGCCTCTTACTGCATAGATAATATTGCCAAACACTGTAATACTGTATGTCCCAGTACTCAGCATGTACCACATGCATGATGATGCATGTCTTTAAAACTACTAATGACATATTTACACATTAGCTAACTTGATTATCTTAGATTGGATGGACCAGATGGTAAGAGTAACATATGGTTAATGTTGCATGTGGTATGTTTTGCACACTTTAAAGTGATAAATAAAGTCAGATTGTAAAAAATACATGCATTAAAGATCCTCCTTTTTTTCTTCTCATTATCTCTGTTTTTTTTTCCCTCTTCCTTCTCTTGTAGGCTTCCTCTATGCTACGAGCGTCCATTGCACCACAGTAAGTCTTCGTTTGGAAGAAATCATTTTTGTACCAATCATACAGTTTCATTAAACCCAAATAAAACAAGGCTGCTATCTCGTTTCTCTTTAAATCACCAGGAGACCAAAGGATGTGCCAATGTTGCCCTCGTTAGACTATGAGAAGCTTAAGAAAGACCTCATCGAAGGCTCAGAGAGACTTCAGTCTCTGCTACTTCAGGCACTGCGCTGGGTGAGAGTATTCTGTTTACTATCTCCAGCATTCTCCTTAGTGATAAGATGTCTCGTATTTATCTGATCATCAGCCTTCCTTGTGACTTCCTTGTGCTCCAACACTCGCTTATAACTTAAGATCAGTGTATTTATCCGTCTTCATCCTCAGAGAGTAGAATGCGTTAAGTACAGTTTAATTTGGGGCGTCCAGAAACTTGGGCAGTTTGTGAACCTGGACAAAAGAAGAGTGGCACTTATATTTACTTGGATTAGACTTTTGAGTGCTGATTGTCGGATCTGTTTCTAATTTCTTTTTAGAGACTCACCCGCTCACTCCCTGGTGAACAGAGAGATACTGTGCTTCAGGCTTACATCAGCAATGATCTTCTGGAGTGCTACAGTACTAAAGAGGTGGGGTTATAGCTTCACTATCATGCATGTTAACACTACCAAGTTCATTCAGAGGGCCTGTTAATTAACTTGTGAACGTGCAAATTTAAAACACGCCGTAAATAAAAGAATCGTAGAAATGTGGTGCTTCCAGACAAATTTAAACCAACACTTAGAACATAACTCGCTCGCAAAAAGGTTATGTTATCTTTACAAGGTGACTTTCATGACAAAGCTGGAGGTTATGGAAAAGGCAATCAAACTTGTAAACAAATTTTTTGACAGATTTCTAAAATATTACAGTCTTCTTGTTTTTATGACAGACGGTCTAATCTGTCAATTTGTTTAGCTCTGTAAGTCATATATTTAAATTTAGAGGAAGAAAATCGTTGTTTATGTTCTTAACATTATCAAATGTTTAGTAATTATTTTATATTAAGAGATCATTTGGACCCAATGGTGAGTCATTTAGAAATGGTTCCCAGTCTCAGCATAAGCACTTTCCTCTGAGAAGCTCAGATTGTGTCGCAAACTTTACCCTCATGAAAGACTTTTGACACACTGTGTTCTTTTTTCTTTTCTCTCATCATTTTCTTTTCACCTAGCCTTTAGCTTCAGGTGCTATGCTGAATACAATCTCTTTAGAGTGAATAACCCTTTCATAAATGCTTTCAATCTTTGTACTCCTGTGTATGTTTCAAGGTTTTCTAGGTATATCTAAGTGACTCTGCAATCATTTAAGGTGACTGTTGTTGAGATTTGGTGCTATATAAATAAAATTGAATTAAATTCTATAGCAACGCTGGAAGACTCTGCATTTAACTGAGGTGTTGGTCAGCGTACATAAATATGATGCCTTTAATTTTAAAGTGTTGCAAAAATGAACATTAAGGAAGGACAAATTTAAAAAAGATGCTACTTGTCAAATAAGTTACATTGTGTTTTATGTTTAAATTCATAGTCCTTGTCTCTAAGAAATTTTACTCTTCAAAAATGGTGAGTGGAAAAACTCACAGTGCACAACTTGCCCTACATTTGTTTGTTTCCTTAGAAAACTGTGCTTCATTTAATGAGATCAACAAACGAGATTGTCCGTCAATACATGGCTCGTCTCATCAATGCATTTGCTTCCCTTGCAGAGGGTAAGTTTAAAGCTGCCATTAGAGCTCATTAGGCATCATCATTTACTTTGTAAGTCGATTCCTGATGGCTTGACCTTACTGGCTTTCCGTTTCGAAGAAAAACTATTAATGATGCTCCACAAAAGCTAAACAGTAACTGTAGACAGCATTTTGTAAAAAGGAGACTTTAGAATGGCTGTGAATGCTTTCAAGATGTTCCTTTGATATTTATTACAGGTCGTGTTTACCTTTCCCAAATCCCCATTCTTCTGAAACATCTGACAGAAACACTCAGAAAGGAAGAAAAAGAATCTCTTACTCGGGAAAATGTCCTTGTGGCTCTGCAGAAACTCAGCCTCAGGTAGTTTTTAAAATTACTAGGGTTTTCTAAATCCTTTCTTATCTCGATTAATGTTTTTTAAATGAATATGTCACAATTTTTGTCCTTTTGACAAGCATGAATATTTGACCTTACATCATGTCTCGCCTGTTAGGAGGAGTCAGCAGACAGCCATGATTGCAGATGATCTGATTGGTTGGCTAGTGGATGAGCTCCAGGACTCAGACTGCCTCAGTGACTACAACCTGGAGTATTCTGCAGCTTTGCTTATGAACCTGTGTTTGCGAACAAAGGGTAAACATAAAAACATGCAGAACACAAATGTAGCTCAAAAATGTGAACACCAGACGGGCGGCATGGACACCTAAGTTTGTGAATGCGATAACACGAGAATGAGGTGACGTAGGAGCTTCAAACTGATACCACAGATGCACTTACTAAAAATCCAATGTATCGACAAATTCCACTTTCAGTGACCGCATCACGTTCTGTAAAAATTTTGTGAATGTGATAACTTGAGAACATGGAGATGTAGGATTTTGAAATTGATAGGTGTGTCTGCTAGGAGGCTGAGAGGCAGCTCTGGCCATTGGCAAATATATTTTTATTTTGCCAAGAAAATGGGAAATGGGTACTGTTTGTGAATCACATCAGTAACCAACTAAAGACTGAACTGAAGAAATAGGAACAAATTATGCTAATAACTAAATCCCTCAAAGTAGAATTTACAGTTGCCAAGTTGTCTTTATGCATGAATGGTTCAGAGGTCAGTGTTTAAGTGGCTTCACCAACAAATCAAAAAATCATTCCTCTGAAAATCGCGAGGTATAAAGACTGGTCTTTATACCTTACTATAAAGTAAATAAAATAACAATCTCACTCTGTGGAAGCAAAATGTGATAAACAAATAAAAGAAGGTGAGAGGGAGAGCTGGCTCAAGGCTTTTACAGGGCATTAAAGAATAAACACATTTCTTTTTAAGACTTTTTTTGACCCAGGCTTACAATTCCCTTATTGTCTTTCATCCGTGTTAAACGATGATTGGCTTTTATTTACTACACTATGCTACTGTGCTATATTTACTTTAAGACTGGTGTTGATTTTCTGTGTGCTTTTTTGTGTCTTTGTTTTTTTTCACTGTCCGTGAATAATTTCCAAGTCAAATAAGTCTTCACACCATGGGTTATACTCTAACGTTCATTCATACAGCTTATTAATAGTCCATGCTATCATGAAAATCAGAACGATCTCGTTTTACGCCACAACGAGTCAAGGTCTAGGTTTGTTCCTGTTCTTTTTTTCTTTTTTTGCTGATACACTAAGGTTAATCATTGTCTAAGTTTGCATTGAAAGCAAACGTTTAGCTTTTCGGTCCTTCTGAATACATGTTTTCACTGCACTCTTGTTTTTACAATTATTTGTCTTCCATTTACGTCATATCTAGGATGTATTGCTTTCAGACGCTGCTCCCTCTTTTCTTTTCTTTTTTCCCAAAACATGTTTTTATTATATGCTGTACTTCTGGTCAATGTAGAATGCCACAATGAAATACTGTCCCACATTTGATTTATCAGTAATTGTATTGTCTTTCACGGAGAAGTACTGGGAAGTCATTAACCTGATTTATATGTATTAAATCAAATAAGAGTCCCATCATATTGCACACAGAAAAAGCGTTGCTAAATTTGTGTGCTGGATGGTTATCTTTTTACAGGAAAAAGGAAGTGTGCAGAAAACGCCAAGCATGTGCTAAAAGTTTTGACTGACCTCCTTGGACATGAGAACCACGAGGTGATATACACATCTGCCAACACACAGCACAGATGTTGCATGCGCAATGGTTGCAGTGTGCAAACAGAACAGATTTCTCGTGGTTGAAACTGATACAGGCTACACAACAAACAGTGTGTACTGCATGCAATAGGTGGAAAGTGCAGAATTAATGCCATTAAAGGATAGAAAATGACACGAGTTGCTAGCATATCATAAACTAAAACCGCCAACATTCATAAATGAACAGTCTCTCTACTGTTGTGTTACACTGTGTATTTATGTCCCTTGAAATGTCTTGCAGTCTTGGCATAAGTGAGCCATGACTACAGGAACATCAATAAAACATAGAAAGCACAGAGTTCATTGATTTTACTTATGTTAGCGGTCAGGTTGTTAAAAAAAAAAGCTTATCCACAGCACAAACATTAGTTCCTCTTTGTGGGCACACATCTCTAATTGCTGTATTTGAGACCATAGAGATAGAGGTGTGTCTGTGTCGCTTTCAGATTTGGCCATATGTGAATGGAGCTCTTTACAGCATCCTGTGCATTCCCTCTGTGCGACAGGAAGCCAGAGAGATGGTGAGATAGCAGTTTGCATTTTGCAGTTTGCATGTCTCTTCCTCTTCACTTTCCTCGGTAAACAACAGGTGTTCATTTAATAGGCAGAGAAAGTTGTAAATGGAAGTGTAGTTAAAATGTGGAGTTGCAATCACAAAAAGTATAAAAGATGGATGCAGCTTCCAGGTCTGCAAACTGAAGTCAATGCGATCAGCGAGACCTTTAAAACTTACTTTCTTTTAAAGTGGGGAACCCTGGGTCAGCACACCTTAATCAACCTTAATCGTTTTATCATTTCAATGAGGATTATCTAGTGTATTGACTAACAAATTTTAGCTAATTAGTTAGCCATTTTTTCATCAGAATCAATTATAAAAGGCCAAAATGGACACGGATGCAATCTCAGTGTTTTTAAATTAGTTTTCAGAAAGCAACGAGTGACATCACAGTGTCACCTAGGTATGTTCATCTTTCACACGCTTTAGTCAAATATTGTTATATATATATGTATATATGTATATACTGTAATTTTATACTTGCATACATATTTTTTGAATGTTTTGTGTGTCTTTCCCTCATGTGTGAAGAGCGTTGAAGAGATTCTCCGCTGCTACATCAAAGAGGAGAACCCAAACCTTAACAGACAGATTGAATTCATCATTAAACAGCTAAACTCAGGTTAGTGAAATTTACTGTTAAACACGTAGATGATAAACTGGTAGTCCAAAAGTAAGCGACTCAAGCAATGCAGGAAAAACAAAATATGTAAATATGAAACTTGATGTCTTACATTTCCTGTTTCAGATCCCCAGTTTTCATAACATTAGTTATCATTTGAAACTATAGTTTTTTTATGAAGTAGAATTTTGGAAAATCTACTGGCTTTTTAATCCTTGTGGTTTTTCCACCCAGCCGAAGAGGAAGGATCAGAGTCTGATGATGAGGAGGAAGAGGATGACAATGACGTAAGGCCGCCTGATAAACATCAATGTGCTGGTGTTTTCCACCATCATATTAAAAGCCTGTTTACAAATTAATTCAACAAAACCACTGAACCATATTAACTGGCACATATCAAAAGAACTAAACAAAGAAAATAAAGTATGAGGGGGAATGATGGACTTAAAAAGTTAAAATGTAAATGAATTACAGGACTTTCCTGGGGTGTGTGTGTATGTGTGTGTGTGTATAAGCACATATTCCATTCTCTTCCTGTTCCCATGAGAGTTCCTTGAGTGTGAGTGCCCTTGCCCTGTAATCTCGAGTGTCTTTTTTGTTTATGTTTTTTGTTTTTTTATAGCTGCTATCCATTTCCCTGCCCACAATGGTGAACTGATACGTACTGTACAATACCTGTTTCTGAGTGGCAGTCTCAAAGCTACAGAATACACTGGTCCCTTGAGCCTTGCGGAATGGTACCAAGCATTGTATTAATTGTATTAATTTTTAAATAAAAATTTAATGGGTGAGAGTTAATTTTTAGTCAGTCTGAGGAAGTTACGCTTTGCCAATGTAATCCGGTAAAAATCGACCTGCAGCAACCCTGTGGGTGTTTTATATAATGCTGCTTAATGCTTAAACATAAATGAAGTGCATGTGCGGACAATATGCATTTTTGACACTGCACACAAATTCTTTCTCAAGTGATTTATTGTCTTTGCATTGTGACAGGAAGATTTAATGGAGATCGACATTGATAAAGAGGAAGTTCTTCAGCCACAGCACAGGGAACTGTCTGGGGAAAGCCTGCTCACCACTGAGTACCTGGGAGTAAGAGCAAAACACACATTTTCACCATAAACATATTGTTTGTAGCTAAGAAGTTCAAATTTTGACACTAATCAAGAATACGAATTACTAACAGTATGGGTATTAGTGTACATATATATATACATGTATTACGGGCAAGTTGCAAAGTAGCTTGTAAATTTTGTTTATTGCACCAATAACAGGATATGACATTATCACAGCGTGCACTGAACTTTAGACAGTGCATAGGTCTGTGCATTCACAGAATTGTAATCATTTGGCTATTTGGTTCATAAATGCTAGCATGAAATATGTTTTACCTCATGATTAGATAAGGTACCACACACATCGCTGCCTCTTTGTGGTGATGGCTTTTGATATCTCAGGTGCTGGCCTGTTAGTTTTTTTAGGGATCTGTTTTATGTGGCTATGAGTTCATGACCGGCCAATACGCCGGACAGAACACAGTCAGGTTTACAGTGAGAAAAAGTTACGTGTTGGACAGTTACAGCACTCCATCACATTAATCTCTCTTTTCCCTGTTAACACTTTTTTCCATGATGGAAATGTGTTTGGTATGTTACTGTTTTATTGTGTGTGTGGCTGTGTAGATCATGACCAACATGACAAAAGTGAAAAGGAAGCCAACCCCTCTACCACAGCCAGCTGCTGATGAGCCGCTACAGCGGCCAGTCACCCCTAGTTCTCATCGTAATATCGGCGTGGGGTAAGTTAAATTACCAAACGGTGTCATGAGATCCAGACTGAAGTTCACTCTTAAGCTAAAACACTTCTTTGTGGTGTCTGTGGGACCATAAAATGTGTAGGACATGAGAAACTGTGCAGTGGCAGCCTCTCTTTAAGTGATTTACAAACCACCATAAACATTGGTCCTTAGATCTCAGATACCGGTCTTCAGGCCTCATTTCTTTAAAGGCTGATCACTTCAAAGTAATCCATAGATTTTATAAGCTGACTAATCTGTAGCTTGTGTAGATAATTGTGCCACCATTTGTTTTAGGATACATAGATAACGACGTTCCTCTTGCCGCTAAAACTCTGCAAATACAAAAATGTTTCAAATGTATTTTGATGTTTTTCTTTGCAAAGCGTAAACTTTGAAGAGATGAGTCAGCCGCAGTAGACTAGAACTGGAGTGACTGGATACCATTGCTATAAAGCATCTTGTTTGGTCTTGACAAGGTCATTTCTTTGCTCTGAGCACCAACCTAGAGAAACCTGGCCTAACCTTCTATTTAACAGTTTAAATATTAAGTGTTAGAGAGCTGTACAAATATGGAGAACTAGCACTGATGAAAGTCAGTGGAATCATCAAAATAAGTTGTTTTTTCAAGTTAAAAGCCATCTTGCTTACACCAACATCCTCATGGAAGTTCTTAATCTGAGATTGTGTTCGTGTTATGTGTAGTGATTATCGACCCGCCAGTCGGGGAGGTGAGACCAGCAGAGACACAGAATACAGACAGAAGAGCGGGGAAGGAAGCCTGCCACACTCTCGATACAACTCACGGCCTCCTACACGCTCCGGCAGTCGGCCGAGCACCGCAGACTCCCTACGCCAAAGCATCGGTGGGTGACTCAACTTTCAGAGTTTCAGATGTAATTTAGGAGTAGCGGTAGAATTTCAAAAGAGTAAAATAATAACTCTTTGACCGTGTCTAACAGCCGTGGCTGTAAATCAGATGTTTGCGCTCAGATTACTCACACTTAGTAGAAGCTCTGTGCATTTTTGTGGAAAAATCTTTAATTTCCCTTCCACCTGCTGCTTTTTATTTGGTTGTGTGTTAGATGTATTTGATGTGGTGCCCAGTGTCCACAAGCAACAAAAGGTACTTCCAGAGAAGGAAGTTCCTGCAACTTCCTCACAAACCATAAGGGATAAAGACTTAGCAGAATAGAATAGAATAGAATAGAATAGCCTTTTATTGTCACTGTACATGTACAGTGAAACTGTGGGTGCTTGAAATACAAATATAAATAGTAGGACAGCAGGAATGAATAGTAGACAAGAGGAGTATATACAAAACAGGAGGGAGGCACACATTAGAGGACAGATTGCAAAGTGCTCAGTCTGAGTATGTGTGTGAGTGGCCGGAGTGATGAGAGTTACTCAGACCATGGCTCAGATCGGTGGGTGGGCACCAGAAGGCTAATGACCTTAGTTTGATGGTATCAAGTGTGCTTGTGTGTTTGATAGTGTTCAGCTGTCCATCTACTTTTTTTTTTAGTTTTTTAAAGTTATGACCTTTGTTTCCATTTGAAGGCCTGACATTTTGGTTGATTCTAAAATTGGTCTTTTGACACTCTTGTTTCATTCCCACTCAGACTCAGAGTGTGGGCGGTTGTCCCAGGAGTCAGAATTGGACAGGCAGTATGAAGGTAGAGCCAGGAAAGGATGTTCCCAGGAGGACCACAACGGACACTCTGCCAGGTATACTGACACACAAATCAGGGCTCGCAAAATCGCTAGCCCGACATCCCGGGGCTAGCGATTTTTCTAGTCAGGCTACCAAAATCTATCTCTGCCCTGCCCGTCGGGCTATCCTAGGAAGGAAAAATATATGTCAATGCTTTTGCATTCTTTCAGAAATGTAGCTGGGTAGGGATGCACCGATACCACTTTTTTGAAAACGAGTACGAGTACGAGTACTTGCATTTCAGTACTCGCCAATACCAATACCGAGTACTTAATAAAAACATGATTTAAATTTACAGGTAACAGCTTTAGTCCTATAATTTAACAAAAAACAAACAAACAAGGGACTAGTTTGGAATTAAGAACATTTATTTAAAATGAAAAGCATGTTGTATGCAACATATTACAGAATAAATA